AGATTGTTTTAAGGGATTTTATTCTTACTAATATTTTGAAATAAGCTGACTTAAAGCCATAAAACAGAATTCAAGATACTTTCCTAAGTCAAATGTACATCAAATAATCATTAACTTGGAAAAATGGGTGGGGGGAGAAAAAGAATTGAAAAGCCAAAGAAAAAAAATTAAAAAGCATTTCATAAGCTCCCATAAATTTCATATAATCAAACAAATGTGCATAATGTGAATTTTCATACATGGCATTAATAAAAATATCAATCAAACATTTTTAAAACACCTGCCACAAACCTCACACTAACCACTACAGCTTACACTCTTGCAAAAGCCAACAAAGCCCTATCATGCACCTTTGAACAAGACTGTGCTTGTAAACTTCACTAATCATTTAGTGAATATGTTCAGGCTCTATATTGCAAGAACACTTCAAGTAGAGAGTTGTTAGCTGTTACCAGAGCATGAAATGTGAAGGAAGAGGCAATCATCACGACACTGAACAACTATCAAATTGGATATTGCATTATCAACCTTCCATTATGGATCACACCAAGTTGCAAGTGGATCTAGGCAAAACATAAATTATTTATTTACAAGAAAAAAATCCCTATTTTAAAAGCTGCTTGCTGTCTTCAAAGATACTAATTATTCAAAGGACATTGAATTCTGTGATGTATTTTCAGGATATCTTCTTGGGATATTTTCTTGGTGATATTAATCTAAATATCTAAGTTTCCCGGTTTTCTTTTGCCGATGCATTTGTTGCATGCGAAAATCACCAACTCAAAATTTCTCTTCTTGAACTTTCTTCCACTGGGGTTACATATTGTTGTCGCAGAACACTGATAGACATTTCAAATTCATGTGCAAAATTATTCTTCACTTCTGCATATTAATCACACATGCCACTTCAATAACATTATATTCTTATTTTTCTTATTTACTCTCTACAACTGTGTAGTCCAATTGTTCATAAAGACCATGTATTAAGCACCAAGTGACCCTAAGCCACCAGCGAAGCACCACAGATTGTAAAACTGTCACATAAGGTTGCATATCTCAATCCTTTGATGAAGAGGTCACACCACGTCACAAAATCCGGAGAAATGTGATCACTAGCCTCTGGCAAATCTTCCATAAGATCTCACTTCACTCCAAAGTTGAAAAATGAGGCAAATAAAAATTAAGAAAATAAAAATCTACACATATAAACAACGGAATATAACCAACACCAAAAAATTATAAAAAAATGATCTTTCCATTAGCATTACCGAGCTACGGTAATGAGGTTGAGCAAGGGTGACTCGCTCCCTTCCCCCTCACGCCCCCTCCCCCCCAAACACACCCATATAAGCACCATAACATGACCTGTTGGAAGGTAAGTGGGATGGGGTGAGGGGAGAGGGGGGGGGGGAGAGAAGAGAGAGAGAGAGAGAGAGAGAGAGAGAGAGAGAGAGAGAGAGAGAGAGAGAGAGAGAGAGAGAGAGAGAGAGAGAGAGAGAGAGAGAGAGAGAGAGAGAGAGAGAGAGAGAGAGAGAAGAGAGAGAGAGAGAGAGAGAGAACAGAAAAAAGAAAGAGAAAGGGAAGAGTCAAAAGAGAGAGGGAGGGAGGCAGAGGACTCACCAAGTCTCGTCGTCGGAATTGGAGTCCTCGACGCCTATAGGATCCATGGTCTCTAAGCTTGCGAGTCCCTGCTGGCGTTTGGGCGTCGAAGGCTGCGAATGGGTGTCTTTCTCGCCTCCGCCCACGCCCACGGGACTGCCACTGCCACCTCCAGCGCCGTCCTTCATCAACTGCTGCCGCTCTGACCTCAGCTCCTCATTCTGCAGCTCTAACTCCCTCACGAGCGCCTGCAGCTTCTTTACCTCCGCCTCCGTGTCCATCGTCTCTAGCCTGTTGTCCATGATGAGGCTCATCTTTGAGGCTCACATCCATAAAACCCCCCCGGGAATTTTTTTCACGATTTGGAGCTCACATCTGCGGTTTCACTTGGCATTGTAAGTGGGATTTCACTGTCAGGAGGAAAAACAGAGACGACTGCCATCTGTTAGTGACTCGAGGTACTGTCGACGGGGACGTTTGTTTGGCCGTGCACCTGCCAGGGGGGACTATGGAGAAACAGACGCGCGATCCCTTCCCTTTTTTATTCCATGCCTGTGTCCCCTTTCTGTCGGCGATCCTTTTTGATTCTGGTGACTCCTTTTCTTCCCATTATAGGTGTGTGTCTGTGTCTTCCTTTAGTTGTACTTTCTATGCGTGCGATCGCGGCTGTATTTTATTATTATTGATTGAAAGGCTTTCTCCCAGCGCCCCTTTCCAACCAGTGCCCCTTTCTCCCGTTACAGGTGTGTGCGTCACCTTTTTGTACTTTCCTTACGTGCGAATGTGGTTGTATCATGTTTGTTCTTATTGATTGGGAGGTGGAGGAGGAAGAAATGTGGCTGATCGGGGGAGTTATTTGTAATTTGAGTAGTTTGAGGTGGTGAATTATGTCATTTAAAGTAGAAAATATAGAGATTTTGTTACTTTCTGGATATATGAACAGGAATAATAGCAAACTTTTAAATAAGTCTTTCTAATCATTCTCGCATTAAAGAGACCATCATTCTCTAATCATTCATTTCATCTCGCATTAAAGAGACCATGAGTTTCATCCATTATCAAACAATATATATTATCAGAGATGAAAACGAACCGGGCTATGCATAGGCAACCTGGCCCATGCCTGAATGCGGCACTGCAATCTTGCGACAGTTGCATATTCAGTGCGATTGCAGTAACTTCAACATGGATTTTTTGGTCTTTTTTGTTACACGCAAAGACACAGCTGTGGTTATAAGATTAGGACACCGTGAATTCATTTCGTTTCACACATCACTACCGTCTGGTTTTGCATGCGACGCGACAGCTACGGGAGATGAGACAGAAATCGATGTCGCCAGCGAGGCAAGAAATAACCTAGTATGTGATTTCGGTGAATATCATTGTAGCCTTTTTTTCTTTTCTTTTTCCTTTTTCTCATACTTATCTAAACTCGTCTCGTCCATATAGCTTGAGGAATTCAAGTTATCGGGCATTGTTTGGCTTCGGTAAGAGGACGGAAATGTCCTGCCCACGTGTGTCTAAATAATGTCTTTTTGTGAACTACGGAGAAGAGTCTACCTTTATGTCTTTGGCGAACGAGAAGCGATTCGTTTGATATCGGTCTCTGTGGCAGGAACTGTTCAGATGAGAAACGATTGCAAGTCATAACAGCTGCACCTGAGATGACGTTCGTAAAACGCACTGTTCATCTGCGTGTGTACACATGCATATGCATAAACACACATGTATACATACACACATATGCATTGATGCACACATTCAGACATACGCACACACAAATCTGTCTATAAAAATGTGCGTGTGCTTTTGTGTGTGTGTTGTGTGTGGTGTGTGTGTGTGTGTGTGTGTGTGTGTGTGTGTGTGTGTGTGTGTGTGTGTGTGTGTGTGTGTGTGTGTGTGTGTGTGTGTGTGTGTGTGTGTGTGTTGTGTGGTGTGTGTGTGTGTGTGTGTGTGTTGTGGTGTGTGTGTGTGGTGTGTGTGTGGTGTGTGTGTGTGTGGTGTGGTGTGTGTGCATATTGTGTGTGTCTGTATGGGCGCGTGCGTGTGTATGTGTATATTTGCATAAGTGTATGCGTGTAGGTGCATGTATAACACACATACCCCCTTCCTCCCTCCCCCTCCCCACCACCACCCCGCCCTGAGCACAATGCGCACCTCGAAAAATATCCCGGTTGCCCTCGTCTTCAAATCTTTCGCAGCAGTGTAGAGATAGGACGTTTTTGGGGAGACGAGGAATCGGAAATATATAACATGATTCTGGGAAAAATAACAGAACAGACGAGAGAGAGAGAGAGAGAGAGAAGAGAGAGAGAGAAGAGAGAGAGAGAGAGAGAGAGAGAGAGAGAGAGAGAGAGAGAGAGGGACGGGCGGAAAAAGGGAGGGAGGGAGAAAGAGAGATAGAGAAAGGGAGAGGGAGAGGGAGAGGGAGGGAGGGAAAGAGAGAGAGAGAGAGAGAGAGAGAGAGAGAGAGAGAGAGAGAGAGAGAGAGAGAGAGAGAGAGAGAGAGAGAGAGAGAGAGAGAGGAGAGAAAAGAGAGAGAGGAAGGAGGGACGCCGGAAAAGGGAGGGGGGAAGAAAGAGATAGAGAAAGGGGGAGAGAGAGAGAGAGAGAAGAGAGAGAGAGAGAGAGAGAGAGAGAGAGAGAGAGAGAGAGAGAGAGAGAGAGAGAGAGAGAGAGAGAGAAGAGAGAGAGAGAGAGAGTCTGTGCAGCAGGGCCGGATTTGGGGGAAAATACCGGGGGATGAGCTGCTGGGGGGTGCGTGGGGGTAGAGGAAGGCGTAGCCCTGGTGACGAATTAAATAGATAAATAAACAAATAATTATATAAACAGATATGTGACTATGTTTATAATAGCTTATTAGATTAAAAAAAAAATAAACATGTACATAGATATATAAGATAACTAAATCAATCAATGGGTAAATGTATATAAAAAACATTATGCATGCATACACACACAAACGCAAACACACACACACACACACACACACACACACACACACACAGAAACACACACATACAAAACAAAAACACATAACACATATAGATGGATATATATAGATAGATAGATTCATTAATTGTGGGGGGGGGGGGGGGTCAACGCTTCTTGCACCCCCAGTAAATCCGGGTTTGCTGTTCAGGTTGACTGTTCACAAGGGTAACAGCGACAAAAGGGCGTGAGGCTGCAGTGAAGTCTTTGGGAAAATTATCTTGGGAGCAGAAATGAGGTTAATGGTTATGTTTTACTTTTTTATAGGTTGTTTTATTAATTAAAGGTGATAGGTGCATGACAGAAAGAAGAGAGAAACACGGCAAATGAAAGATAATGGAGGAGGCAGAATACAAGCTAACTTGAAACAGAGAAGGAGAGGCAGGTAGAGAGAGAAGAGAGAGAGAGGAGAGAGAGAAAGAGAGAGAGAGAGAGACGAAGAGAAGAGGGAGAGGAGAGAGAAGAGAGAGAGAGAGAGAGAGAGGAGAGAGAGAGGAGAGGAGAAGAGAGAGAGAAGAGAGAAGAGAGAGAGAAGAGAGGAGAGAGAGGAGAGAGAGAGAGAGAGAGAGAGAGAGAGAGAGAGAGAGAGAGAGAGAGAGAAGAGAGCGAGAGAGAGAGAGAGAGATGGAGAGTAGAAAGAGTGTGTGTGGTGTGTGTGTGTGTGTGTGTGTGTGTGTGTGTGTGTGTGTGTGTGTGTGTGTTGTGAAAAAGAGGAAAAGAAAGAAAGAGAGAGGAGAAGAGAGAAAGGAGGAGGAGAGAGAGAGAGAGAGAGAGAGAGAGAGAGAGAGAGAGAGAGAGAGAGAGTTAATTATACGACTGAACAAAGAATGACTATGTGATTCACTACTACTCATGTTGTTCATAGTGTAACTCGATATCACATGACATGGATACTGATTGATGAATCATCGTGTTATCTACACTTGCCTGTTTTACCTCATACCCCTTATATGCGCATGAGGTAATGAGGCAATATGATGGTTTAGCTATAATTTTCTGAAGGAAAATTCGCTCGTAGCTGATACGTCAATAGTAAAAAAAAAGAGAGAGAATTAAACGTTTCATAAAACAACAAAACATTATTTTTTAAAAGACCGTTTTAACTCTCTAATTCCAGCACTTATGCGGTTATTGATCGTGAATTTAACCAATGAATGGCTGTAGTAAAGTTACGAAATCTGCAGACAGTTAATCACCTATCATATGATTAAAACACGAGATGGATAAAACAAACGCGCATTCCATCTCACCAACGAACAGCACTGAATATTTCCGATCACAAAGTAGAATACATCCATGTAAAAAATCATAGTCTGAAAAGAAAAGTATTGTGGCGAATGAAGCGACCATTTTTTAAGGCTAAGTACTACGTACGTAGAAAGAGACAAGTATTTGAGGGAAATAAAGAGTAAATATATATATAATTTACTAAAGTTACCCCTTGATCAATGGATGATTCACAAAAGAAAACGTATGAGGCACCGGTACCACGGGGGTGACATCATCACTTACCAAAAAGGGTAATGTTAGAAAGTCTTCGCAGTGACAAGTGATTTCCGTGTTACAAGCAGAACAATGGTGGAAGAGAAAAGAGAAGGGAAAACGTATTAATTAATCGACCTCGTGCCGAATTGTTATNACAGACAGACAGACAGACAGAGAGACAGAGAGACAGACAGAGACAGAGAGACAGACAGACAGAGAGACAGACTGACAGACAGAGAGAGAGAGAGAGAGAATACACACAATTCAATGGATGGCCGCATAAGCAATATAACAACTATTTTTTTTCCTTTGTTTCCAATCCTGAAGTTCTATTGTCATATATTTTCGCTGTAACTTTAATATGCTCCTGTTAAGCTGAATCGTGAACATTTTTTTCGGAAAAGGCATTTGTTGTTATTGCAATGCGAAAGAAATAGAAAGGAGGGAGGGTGGAGTAATGTGGACGAGAGGAGAAGGAGTGAGAATGGGAACTGAGAAAAAGACGGGAGGGAGGGAAGATGGAGGAGGAGGAGGAGGAGGATTAAAAGGGATAGAGAGGACGATTAGAGCATAAAGAGAGGCATTACGGACAGATAATCAGAAAGAAAGAGAGAAGTTGAAGGAAAAGGGAAAGAGAGAAGAGGAGACAAGGAGGGGTGAATGAGAAACATAGAGAGAAGCTAAAGAAAGGGAAGAGGATTGAAAATAAAAGGGGGGATGAGAGGGAGGGGAAAGAGACAGAGAGAAAGAAGAGAAGAGAAGGAGAGAGAAAAGAAGAGAAGGAGGGAGAGGAAAAAAGAGAAAACAAGGAGGAGAGACAGAAGAGAGAAGGAAAATGTAGAAGAGAAAGAAGAGAAAGAGAGGGAAGGGAGAGGAAAAGAAGAGAAAGCAAGGGGTGGGATACAGAAGAGAAGAAAGTAAGAAAGAAGAAAGAGAAGGGAGGAAAGAAAAGAGAAGATGGGTAAGTAGAGATGGGGGAAAACAGAGCAGAGGAGAAGGGATAGAGAAGAGAGAGAAGAACGGAAAATAAGAACAGAGGGGGAGAATAGATACGACGGAGAAGAGGAGAGGGAGAGAGGGGAAGGCGCCGCGACTGCAGAGCAAGACGTGAGGCCCGAGCCACCGAGGCACCAGTTCCCCGCCGGCCGCCGAGGGGAGAGGTCGCTCGCTCCGCCTCTCGTGTCAGTGAGTGAACCGTGCGCCGCCCAACCTGATTCCCTCTCCCGTTCCCACTCTTTATCAAAACCCTTACTTTCCTCCCCTTTCTCCTTCCCTTTCCTTCTCTCTCCTCCTTCACCCCTCCCTCACCCCCCCCCCTTCGAAGAGACTGAACCTCGCCTCGAGTGTGTGTGCTCCTCCTCGAAGACTTTAGAGCCTTAACCCTTTCGGGACTGTCGGGCCTCGAGGATTTCGTTCCGGAGTCGA